CGACTCTTGGGATACAATAAAGATCACCATTTTAATTGTGTGAAAAAAGTAAAAATATCAGATAACAATTCTGCTCTCTTTGTCATAAATAAAGCTATTGCATTTAAAATACTGAAACTAAATAGTAGAGATAGAGACATATTTATTTGTAAGCATACACGGTAAATACAGTCTACATGTTTAATATTTTAATATTACACTTATAGTTCAGCATGTTGCGCCAGTAACTGGCATACAAATGTTAATAGCAAATATTATACATTGATCGCATTTATTACACATAGTCATATTACTTATATAATTAAAATCATATCGTATTACATTATAAAATTTTTTTCATTAAAAATTATGATTTAATAAAGAAGAGGAACACATGTCAAAGCAATAAATAAGTAGAGGGTCGCAGGTATTGACTAATGGTCGCAGGCTTCAAAATGTAAATGTCAAAAACTCATTTACATTATAAGTTGCAGATCTCGTTTTGCTGATTAATAAATTATATTTCGCTAAAAATGTCGTTATACGTTGTCTATGACAAAGACGGTAGAGTCGCTATCGATAGTGTTGCCATTTAACATCTGCGTTCCTGTTGCCAGTAGAAAAAATTTGCTCTCTAAAATTGCTGCTTTATAAAGGTGTTTAGTTAGTCACAATCGTTTGGACACGTATCACACAAAAGGTAATGGAATGCAGTATTACTATTCTGTAAGAGATCTTATTAATGTGAAATTAATGTCCAATTGAATGTATTTAGTAAATGCTAAATAACATTATTCACGTTGCTGTTTTATTTTTATTGCCTGTGAAATCCGAACTATGACCTCAAAAACAAGGCAGATTCCATGCAGTTTACGTTGGCCATTCAAAAACCGTTCACCTTTTTTTTATAATATCAAGTGACGGGACGAACAAGTCGTGAGCCTCATGGTAAGCTACACGCCTGTCCATGACATTTGCAATGCCACTCAATCTGTCACCCTACGACATAGTTTACAAGTCCTGTGTGCCTGTAATTTTACCAGCACCCTGACAAAACCGGAATACAGTAATGCTGACATTACTGCTTGGCGGCAGAAATAGGTAAGGTGGCAGTACTACACTGGATGAACTCTCACATGGAGCTCTACTGCTACTTCTAAGCTCGTAAGAATTGCCTGTAAAATTCGTACTATGACATCAAAAAACAAGGCAGGTTCCATGCAATTTACGTTGACCATTAAAAAACCATTCACTTTTAGTAGTACTTCGCTTTTACATTTAGATGGCGAACGGCTATGGAGTGAAAGTCCCAGTCTGCAGATTTATTCCCTTAACGGTGTAACAAGGGCCAAGGCGAGTCACCATTTCGGTCAGGATGGTTGGACCAAATACAAACTGTGCTCATTATTTACTACCTGTTGTCTACTATTTAGTACCTTTATTGACATATTTTCTACCTTTGAACTAACAGAAATATTAAAGAAATAAAGTGGCCAGCCATTCTGACGTTAAATTGGCTGACCCAAAATATACTCATTTCTACCTAAAAACATCCACTATTTTAGGAAGCTTATATAAAAAGTTGTTTAAAAAAAATAATAAAACTCCTTTGCAAAAGGTATCTTTTAAAAAGACAGTTTATCTTATCCGTATTTATATAAAAAAAGTAAATTACATACTGCTAGAACCATGAAAAACGTAAAGTAGTCCAGCCAACCTGACGTCAGAATGGCTGGCCACTTTGTTTCTTTAATAATATTTCCGTTAGCGCAAAGGTAGAAATATGTCAATAAAGGTACTTACTAAACAATAGAAAATATGTAGTAAATAATGAGCAGTTCATTTCTATATCTCGTTTGGTCCAACCATCCTGACGGACACCGAGTCACCGGAGAAGAAGCGGGTAATCTGTTTTGATAGATAGTTCAAAAGGTTGAGAATAGAATAATAATAACGCACACATTCAACATAACTGACGCGCCATTTGCCAGTAAAATCTTAGCTGTCAAGTTATCTATTGAACTTTTTTGGAAAATGACGAGTTTTTTGTCAGTCTTTTACAGATTTACTTTGTTTCATAACTTTTTTAGGTTTTTTTTTTATTGTCGACAATAACTACATGGCTATCTGAAATGTTATGAAAAGTGGCAACCCTGCAACTGTCATTTTACTCCGTCCTTTTATAAGACTACAGTGTGCAAAATCTTGCAATATGCAGACGATATCGCCCTGTACGCTTGTTCCAAATCTTTTTCAGATACTGGAAGACGCCTCAACTCTGTCCTTTTTTACCTAGACTCTTGGCTTTCCGATCACGGCCTCTCGCTTTCAGCTTCCAAACGCACAGCTGTCGTTTTTTCCCGCAAGAGACGCGTTCCTGAAACTGAAATACATGTTAATGGGGAAAACATAGAACTGAGGGAAATAGTAAATTTTTTAGGCATTATTTTGGACTCAAAATTATCTGGCATTCATGACCTCAACTATATTTGTCAAAAAGCTGAAAAAAGCATAAATGTCTTACGTGCACTTTCTGGTGTTCTCACATCCGTATAACAAAAGCTCCTGTACAACGCAATCATCAGAAGTCATTTTGATTATGGCGGCTTCCTTCTGGAACCATGCAACAAGATAGCCTTGGCTAAGATGGACAGAATCCAGGCAAGATGCCTGAGAATAATCACGGGTGCCATGAAATCCTCACCAACAAACGCTCTTCAAGCCGAATGTCTGGAGCCCCCTCTACATCTACGTAGACAATTCCTTGCTAATAGATTCCTTTTCAAGATCTTTCAATTTTCTTCTTACCCTTTGATTCCCGTATTGCAATCCTTGTCGGAGATTATTCTTTCCTCCATTTATTGGTCACATAAGAAACTTCCCCTTCTTATCAAGTTTTAACAAAATTTCCAATCTCCCCTTCCCTATTTCCCAAAATTATATGAACCCGTAGTTTGAAACTGATTTTAAATGTTTAACATTCCGCCCAAGAGTCTATCTTAGTTTTGGCATTATGAAAGATACACCTGGAGCAAACCAAGTCTTCAACGATATAGTTGAGAGAGAATGGCATGACTGGGCTACTGTTTTTACCGACGCTTCAAAATTACGCGAATATGGCGACTTGGGAGCCGCGGTTCCCCAAGTTCAATGTCGTACTCAGTTTTAAATCCCCCTATCTGAATTCGGTCTTTTCTGGAGAGACTATCGCAATACTTGAAGCCATTTTATATATTGAGTCCCATAAAATTAATAAATGTTTGGTTTTCTCAGACTCACTAAGCTGCCTCCAAGACATTATTAAGCTACCGTTTCACTCCAAAGACAATTTCTCTATCACCCTCCAAATTAAGGAAGCTCTGTACCGATGTCACTGTGCGGAAACTGAGGTAACTCTGTACTGAATTCCCGGTCACAGTGGGATCAGTGGCAACGAAGCAGTAGACGCCTTTTCAAAGGATGCGACAAGAATTGGCGTACGCAAATATCATAAGTGCTTTCCCAGAGATCTGCTCGCCATGACCAAACCCCAAATGCTAGTCGGACTCCTCCTGGTCGGACCTATGGCAGGAATCACGACAAACTGTTGGTAGACACTATGGTAACCTCCAACCAAATCTACCCACTAAAACCTGGTTTTTTAAACGTCGCGATTTGCCTAACAACATCACTTCCACCATTATACGTTTGCGCTTAGGCCATGTTTGCACCTGTATTTTTGCGTAAAATCAGAGTCCAAGATCACTCTCTGTGCGAGTGCGGCTTAGAAGAGGGTACCTTGGAACACATTTTTTTCAATTGCCCTAATATTGCTGTTCCACTTTATAACTTACTTCCTCCAAAATTCCCCCGCCCCATTAACATAAATAATCTCATTACTTTAGTGTTCTCCCCCCATATTGTTACTCTATGTAAATTTATCCACTTAAATAACATATAGACATGAATACGTGTTACATGTTTGTGTTGTCGTTTGTTTTAGATTCTCAACTGAGTACCCCCGTGGACCAACTCATCAACACCGGTTAATGTCCTAATAAAGCTCAGCGTATTTTTTTTTTGTTTTTTTCTTTCAACCGTGACATTGGCAAAATCATCATTTCTCATAATGATGGAGCCATCAAAATAAAAAGTGAAGTGAAGACTACAGCGCTATTGCAGCACAGCAAGGAACTATAGAATTTGAGTCTTTTCGAGGCGAGAGTAAATAGATGTCATTTAGGTGTGCATGCTCTAACGTCGACCATGTTGTCACTTTTGAAATGCATCTGTTAAAAAAAAGGTTAAACGAATTTCATGAATAAAACAACAATATAATTTAAAAAGTTTATTCAATTAGCAGTCTTATTTTACAATAATCTAATAATATAATCGACTGCGACGTATTAACGCAAAATGCAATACATTACTTTGAAACAATTCCGTTATTTCTATTATGCATATTTTGGACATCATTTCTGTTTATAGATTGTAGCACATACTATCCCAGCCTTTTCAGAAAGAATTAGATTACGTCGCTAATTGTAGTTCCGATCGTAAGACTGTTTCTCGCAACGCCGAGTCTTTAACTTTGGCAAGGGTAGCACATCGCCGCTCGGCGTTACAGGAATTCGTAATATTTTTTTTAATCAAGTGATGGGATGAACAAGTCGTGTGCCTGATGGTAAGCTACACGCCTGTCCATAACAGTTACAGTGCCACTCAGAGCTTTAAATTGCAAAGATCTGCAGGGCACTACCACTGCGCCCGTCACCCTGAGACATAAGTTGACAAGTCCCATGTGACTGTAATTTCACCAACACCCTTACCCTTCAAAACCGGACCACAGTAATGCTGATATTACTGCTTGGCGGCAGAAATAGGTAAGGTAGCAGTACTACCCTGGACGAATTCTGTCACAGAGTTCTACTGCTACTATGTACGTGAAAAACGGATGCTTATAGAGGAACAAAACCACAAGATACGCTTAATTGTATTATTACTGAAAAAGCTCGAAATATTCTTACAAAGAAACGGTGTTCAGCCGATAATGTTAAAACAAAATCATAATTTCAAATTATCAAGTATTCCCTTGGTATGCACGAAAGGAGTCTCCTCGCACGATGTAACCATATTCTTTCTGTAGGTCTGGTGCACCTTGAACAACAATCCGTGAGTACCAAATCTTTTCACTATAGTGTATGCCACTAATGCGATAAGGTATCATCGAAAAATGATCCATCCATGCGTAGATTACCATCTGATCAAATTGCAGGTGAATGTTTGCCTGTAAAATCTTTTTTTAGGAGACCTACATTATATTTCCACGAGACAATCTGTTATAACTTTTTTTAATGCGTGTTGTCAAGCTGCGATGTATACTTATATGTTTACGGTTTTAAATTACAGCACTTTATGAACACCGCAATCTAAATCAAAGTAAATAAAAAAGTTACATATAATATTTTAAAACCAGTTCAATTCTCCCATTTTTTGAATTCTAAGCCGTCTGGCGGTTTCATCTCGACCTTGTCTTTGCCGACTTGATTCCAGTTTGTGCTGAGTACCGTGCCACCGGATTCTACCTGTAGAATATAAAATATTTACAAGTTAATAATGTGCCAGATAACCACACCAATTGCCTGGTCTCACCCTAAGGAATACCCTGTTCTATGAGTACCAAAGCAATGGAAATCCCTCTGGGGCATTTCCTAGAACACCCATACTAGAACCAATTTAGAAAAGTTAATTTCCCAATTTAGTTCTACCGAGAATCGAACCCGGGACCTCATTCAGCGCCCACAGTATAAACAGTTGGGCCACAGAGGTCGCCCATACCATAATAATGTGTAAATCTCGAAATGAGTACCGTAAAATAGTGTTACAACTTACGAGTGAAAGTAAAGTTATTCCCGTGACGTCGAGCAGTGGCATGCTCCGCGTGCTATTCCCGTTACGTCGAGCGAATCTCGCTTCAAGAACTGTTTTCTAAGCTTTGCATTGCGGGAGAAAACAAGAATGCTACTTTGAATCTTCAAGGCTTGATTTACATTGTTTTTATAATCATAGCATAATACGTTGATTTATTTTGTGTAATGTGCAAATTAGATACGAGCCAAAATAAAAAACAGACCGAGCAGTTTCCGGAGAATTCTCGCTGTCTCCGAGATTCCTGCAGCTATCGTATCGCATTTAGTTGGCACACATGAAGTTTATTATACTACCTATGTCAATTTCGTCACAAAAATTAGTTCCCATTCTTTCCGCGGCAATGTAAATTGAGCCTAAGTAATAATATTAATATACGGTTCGTTTTTACAAACTAAAGATTAGGCGTGATCGCTCGGATTGTTTTGACTTTGGTTGTATGCATAAAACTCCTATTTAGTTTTGTACAAACGAATTTTACCAGCAGTACTTTTTTTTATAATATCAAAGCGACGGGACGAACAAGTCGTGCACCTGATATTAAGCTACACGCCTGTCCATAACAGCTGCAGTGCCACTCACACCTTTAAATCGCAAAGATCCAAGGGACACTGCGCCGGTCACCCTGAGACATAAGTTGACCAAGTTTCATGTGCCTGTTATTTCACCAGCACCCTCAAAACCGGAACGCAGTAATGCTCACATTACTGCTTGATGACAGAAATAGGTAAGGTGGCAGTACTTCCTGGACGAACTCTTTCACAGGGAGCTTTACTGGTACTAATGTACTGTTTTTTAACTGCCTCGGTGGCCGAACGGTTACCATGCCGGACTGCCACGCAGAGGTCCCAGGTTCGATTCCCGGGCCGGGAGAAATATTTGTATGGCCTACATTTATTTCTCTCGTGAGTTTGGGTGTAATTTGTGGTTGTCTATGTGTGTGTCCATGGGACCCGCGACACAGGGTTTTCCTAGTGCGGGGCTATGTTGAGTGTGAGTGTTATTATTATTATTATTATTAATTAAATAATTATTATTAATTCTTCAAATGAATTGTGTAACGTAGAAACTAGATACGATACGGTAGTTCCGGGAATTCCTGAAACTGAGCGAGAATTCTACGGAAGACGCACGACCTGTTTTTGGCTCATCTAATTTGTTCCTTACATAATTTATATAAAATTCATTATAATATAGTTACTTAAATAAATTAGCCTTCAAGTAATAAAAACTAAAACTTTTTTACAAAGAGTTTAAACGGAGTAAACGATTCTTGATACAATCTAATTAATGGTTGCACACGCAATTAGGGTTACCATACCGAAATTTGAATAGTCGGGACAAATAGCCTGACATTTACAAGAAAGTCCGGACTTTTTACTGACAAAATATAATCTCAGTAATACAGAGTACTAAAAAAACCGACCTCAAAAGTTCGTGGAATTACATCTATTTGCCAAGTTTTATTGAAATCGGTTACGGAAAGTGCGCGAAGCCGGATTCATCCCCTAGTTTGCCACCCTTAGAGGTGGAATATTTTCAAAATTTAAATGGGAGTCATTAAAATCGTTCACAAATTATCGCGTAACATACATAAAAAAACAGTAGAATTAAGAACCTCCTCCTTTTGTAGAAGTCGGTTAATAATCGAAATCTCTATTTCACACGGCATCAGAGATGGAGAAGCGCCCAAGATCAAAATTTTAGACGAAGGCTGCGGTTCCACCCCTATGTTATAGATATTCAAAGAATGCGCACAAAGCGTTACGCTTCCACATTTATATGGCGAACGCCTATGGAGTGGGATTCCCAGGCTGCAGACTTATCCTCTGCACGCTATAACTTGGTCCTTTTTAAGGGGAGAGTGAATAGGCTTTACTTAGGCGTGCAAGCTGCATCCTCGACCTCATCGTCATTCCATATGCAGTTTTCAATCGCAGCACCACTGAAGCCTCGGTATTTAAAGCCTTTCCAAGTCTCCAAGGCAAAATACTTTGCGTGCTTTAGTTCCAACTATTTAAAATGTAACTTACTTAGTAAAAAAATAAAGATATTTTTGAAAGAGTACTGTATCTTATAGTCAGTCTTTTTTTAAGATGGAGTCAAATGGCAACTAGTGAATCGATAAATATTCTATTTTATTTTTATTAAGTTTTTTTTTTCTATCGACTATCGGCTGAATGTTCGCTTATGCCTCGCTTATGCTTATTATCCATTTGAATTGTCGATTTCTGTAAGTTCATATATCGACCCCTCCTACGTAAAGTATCGTATGTCGAAATTGCCAAGTTTTACAGGAGAGCGTTTTAACGTTCTGAATTCAGTGAAATGTGCATAACACGTGACTTTAGCATTTTCAGTTTTATTCGGCAAACTCGTTACTCACATAGTCTACTATATAAAATCCTAGATATCGGTTAGATGATCTATTGGATGATCACTCTTTCAGTGTATTCAGAACTTTAAAAAGCTCTTATCTTCTTCGTATTTACAAAATGATTTTTGTTTAAGTTCAAGCAAGAAATTAAATTAAACTTTTAGTTTACTCCTTAATTTCTTGCTTAAGGCAAGCACCGGAAGAGAAGCGGGAAGAACTGTTTTGCTATATCAAATTTAAGGGTTTAGGTATTTACTTATTAAATAACGATCTCGAAAAAAAAATACGGTACACTTAAGGACATTGTCTAAACAATATGCAATTTTTTTACACGATAGGGATAGGAAAACCGATCATATAAAATCCTAAAAAATAAAGCTAAAATAAAAATGTAAAACGAATTATTTACAAAAAAATCTAAGTTTGCCATTGACTTACAATTATATGGACGTCGGGTCCGCGCTAAAAAGTGTCCGCACTTGTAAGGCGCTAAAATCGTATACAGAGCGCCAAACTCCGCTTTAGTCTTCATTTGTTCTACTGACAGCGCGATACTGCGATGACATTACAATTTAAATTTCGAATAGGTTGACTTGGGACATTTTTTTCGTGGTTTTTGTATTAGACCCGTCGTCCATTTATTTGTAAGTCAATGAAGTTTATAATAATAATAATAATAACGCACACACTCAACATAGCCCCGCACTAGGGAAACCCTGCGTCGCGGGTGCCATGGACACACACATAGACAACCACAAATTACACCCAACTCCGAGAGAATATAGAAATAAATGTAGGTCATACAAACATTTCGCCCGGCCCGGGAATCGAACCTGGGACCTCTGCGTGGCAGTCCGGCATGGTAACCGTTCGGCCACGGAGGCAGTTTGCACATAATATTTATATATATTTTATATTTCTCTAGATATTTCTCTTTACGTACTACACAGAACCTGCAAAATTTTGTTTTTTAACTGAAAACTCTCTAGTTATAAAATTCACATTTATCCAAAAATTCGAAAATTGCGCAGCAGTTTAACGACACAGTTTAACAGTCGCCATCGGGCGCTTGTTGATGAATAAAACTAAATCAAATCTAAAATAAAAAAGAAAAGAATATTGGTGTAAGAATTTATTAAATAAATATTCATAATAAATCATAAATGATTGGCTGAGTGTATAAAATTTTAACAATAAAAGTGACAAAATAATATAAAAGGTATACAAAAAGAGGCTTCTCAATATATGACGCGTAAAATTTAACATATTCCCACGGACTTTGTAATGTATCTTCAGGTGGGGCCCTAAGGGCCGGTTTTGGTAAAGGGACTTGTATCTGAGAAGCAACGGAACTTGTTACTAAAGGAATAATAATTATTATAATGAATACTTTTTCCGGAAGGTATATTACATAGTATAATTAATTAGACAAGTAGGGCAACTTCCGCCTGTTCGACGCGTAAATGCCTACACTTCATTCGGAGCGTAAGGTTGTCACGTAACCATTTTAGTTGTACCTATAGGTTGTAAACATTGACTTACAATTACATGGAAGTCGGGTCCGCGCTAAAAAGTGTCCGAACTTATAGGGCGTTAAAATCGTATACAGAGCGTCATTCACGCTTTAGTCTTCGTTTGTTCGACTGACAGCGAAGCAAGCAAAATTAGACAGTACTGCGATGACATTACAATTTAAATCTAACGTTTTAGCGTTTTCATATTCCTTTACATGTCACTACGTTCAAATAGGTTGACTTGGGACATTTTTTTCGTGGTTTATGTATTAGACCCGTCGTCCATTTATTTGTAAGTCAATGATTGTAAACATAATTTAAAATAATCTCAGTGCAGAGTATTAAAAAAACCGACCCCAAAAGTGCATGGAATTACATCAATTTGCCTAGTTTTATTGAAATCGGTTACTGGAAAGAGCGCGAAACCGGATTCATCCTCTACTTTGCCACTCATTGGATCGTATTCTAGAACTCTACTTAATGCTCAAGTCAGGATTTGAGTATGATTTAAAGAACTCGTAATCATACTCAAGTCCCTGCCATTAGAGTCGTATTTCCAGTGCTTGAAATCATACTCTGATCCTGACTTGAGCAATGAGTAGAGTTCTGGAATATGACCCTTAGGGTCAATTCGCTTCAATTTTGTGTAACATTTGTCATAGGTTATGGGGTCTGGTAAAGTTCAAAATGTTTATTTTGTTCGGAATAAACCTTCTTTATTACATTAAATAGTAGTAAAATTTTTTGCCCTTTGGGACCGGTTAAG